CAATTTTTAAGGCAAATTTTCTCCAAACGAACGAAGGTACTAATTTACAATAAAGAATCAACACAGGCTTCTTATAATTTATGAACTATATGCGGTATACTGCATATCTTTGCCCCCACAGAAGTCAATTTTTGAAAAAGTCTTGAAATGTGCTAAATTGTATATATTGTATGAGAAATATAAATTAACAGACCAAGTTATAGTTTCAAAGTAGATAAAATTTTGACAATATTTGTTTTTATGACGTCACAAACTAGTCCGCATTTTTTAAAAAGAGGAGAAAATGGACAAAATTTCAACAATTTTAGCTATAAAATTTATAGAGCGCAAGTGTGCCCAGAAACAATATTTACATATTTCATTGATATTATCATTCTGCACATTATATAAAATGTTAAGCCTGATGAGACCTGCGCTCGGTGACTTCTACTCAAAATATCGATGTAATTTATACATTTTTCTGTAGAAATGATGAAAATTCTGAATTTACGTCATCTTTGTGACGTAATTACAAACATTTGATGTCATTGCTTATGAGAATATTAAGTGCTTTGATTTATTGATTGATTAATGTTTTACGCCAAATCGGCAATATTTCAGCCATATATCGGCGATTAAAAATAAATCATGTGACCAGTTTTTATGTTTTGGGTTTCACTGACGGCCCCCAATGAGCCTACTCTTTTTCAAGTCAGCATGTATCCCCTTGTTTAAGAACATAATTAAATAATATCCGTCAAAGTTTGATTTGGGGGGATATTGGTTATAACGAATACGAATATAATCTTTCTGTTCATCTTTTGTAATTAGTAATTATACAGAGCTCTAGATAATTTTTAATCCCAAAGTGTATTTACTCCCTGGTTTTCAAATCAAAGCAGATTTTGATTTTCGGCAAAATCATTGCAGATTATTTTGTTAATACATTAAAATTTTGACCTTTATTTTGATTCTGAGCTTGTCCCCACTTAATTCTACGAGTAGGGATCTACCTTAAATGCTTTATTTTATAACATTCTACAGCCTGTCAGCCGGGAACCTACGGAAAGAACTGTGTACATGTATGTAGCGAAACCTGTGGAGTGACCAGCAGATGTAACAGATTTACTGGAAAGTGTGAGGGTGGATGTCAGCCCGGATGGAAGGGAGATAAATGCGAGCAAAGTATGTGTTAAAATTCCATTTTCTTTAAAAAGGTTGGAGGGAAACGTAAATTACGATATAAATATGGGATTTTTTATATTCATGTGTATTTTTCCTCCATTTTATCAAATAAAATGCGTCTTGTTTAATGCGCAAGTCACAGTAAGTATAGATATGGGAAATTATTTGCACCCTGACATGTAATGAATTTCATTATCCAAAAATGAAATTTAAACAAAACTTGCATTTTTTATATAGCATACCTTCTATTCCAGTGAACCTGACCTATCCTTTTCGTTTCCTGGACGTTTAAACATTATTTTTGTCGATCGTCTCAACATATCACTTTGTGGTCAAGAGAGGAACTTAACAAAAAACTTTCTTATTTGAAAACATGTTTTGTTGAAATTATTTTTGGGAGTTTGGAAGTTCAATCTGCCTTGGTCATCGCGCATTTAACATGCGCAGTAATAAATGTTGATTATTAAGAGCTGAAAGCTACTGTGTCGACCATTTACTCAGATGATATTCAACAGAGAACATGCATAAACATCCGCCACAAATAGTTCAAGTCATTTTCTCCTAAACTGATCTAATTTTTATAATTTGAAATGTAAATAAATGTAATGATAAATTCATCTTATTTTGAATATAAGATTTCGTTCAAAGTAAAACTAAATTATAAAGAACCTCAAAAGTTTTTCGTAATGGAACTCATTTTTAGTGTAGCGTCATCTATAAACACTGATAGAAATACGAACTCTACATACGACGGCAACCGTAAAATCTAGTCTTCCCGACTAGGGGGTATAAAAAAGGACTAATGAAGGCAGGCAAGCATTTCGGCCCATGCATTTTTTTGCTATTCAATGTCTCTGAATGTCTTTCTTAAGATTGTTGCAACACAAAAAATCTGCAACAGTTGTCTGTATTTGAAATAATAATATTGTTCACTCACTTAACCTCCCGATCAAAGATTTTATTTTACACCATGTCTAACTCCCATGAGTACTTAAAGTACTTTGATTTATTTAAAGTCATTATGTAGGTAATGTTTTCTAGAATGTGACGACAGAAAGTATGGCGTTAACTGCACTCAGGTCTGCGGTCACTGTCTTAATGATGATCAATGTCATCATATCAGCGGGGTATGTTCAGGTGGATGTTCTAAAGGATATAAAGGACCACTATGCAAAACTGGTAAATTTTCAATACTTGCATTTAAATTATATTTTTTTTTAAGTTCGGTGGGGTGTTCTTTTTAAGGCGAACGACAACTCTACATACGACGGCAAATAATTCAAAATGTCTATATGGGAAGAATAAAACACGCCATTAGTCTTGCGCACATGTAAGAGGATACCTTAATATACTGATGATGGCAATAGTGGAAAATTTTTCTATATATACAGATAATACCTCACTGAAATTGAAATACGAAAAAACTTCGGAATCTGTCAAAAATATTCCATATCTGGTTGTTACGAAGCTTTATTCTGGTTATGGCAAACTAAATACTAAAATATTTGTCAAACAGGATGACTAAGGTTTTTGAGTCATAAATTTCCCTTGATATTATAATTCGTTTAAAGTTCAAAATACATCATATGTCCACTATGTCAAAAACCGCTGCATTTACAATTTAAAGAAGGTTCGATTTTACTTCAGTCTGTGACGGTGAAATGTATGGCATCAACTGCAGTAAGAAATGTGGAAACTGTCTTGATGAATTACAATGCCACCACATTAATGGGACATGTTTAAATGGATGTTCTTCAGGATACAAAGATGAGCTATGTACTGTCGGTATGAACATGCATTATATAACAACATATTTTACAGTATCATAAAAAACGGGGAAAATCCGTTGTATATTCATCGTTACTCTAAACAGAAGGATACTCTGAAAAAAGATAACTCTAAATGACATAAAACTGATCACGGTAGCCAAGTGGTAGAGCGTTCGCTTCGTGATCGGGAGGTCCGGGTTCAATTCTTGTTCGTGGCGACGCATCAAACCTAAGACGAAAATATAGGTAGTGATTGTTCCTTGCTAAACGCTCGGCATAAGAAGTGGAAGTCACGGGTCTTTCGGATATGACCTTAAAAACGTAGGTCCCGTGTCGTGGTTGGCACGATAAAGAACCCTCACTAATCAATGACCCTGAGTGCCGAGTATTGGTCTAAATTTGAAGTCCATCACCGGCATACGGTGACGTCTCCAGATCAGTGATAAATTATCGAGTGGGACGTTAAATAATATACAATCAATCATAATGACATAAATATCTGTTTTTCCTTTGTAAATGTAAAGTTAAAGTTGAAGTGTCTTTTTTGTCCAATTTTGCCCTGCAAGTCATGCTATAGTTGTTTGTATTTTACTAATTATACAAGCATATGGAGTTTCTTTGGAAAATATAAGAGTTAAGGAAATACTTTAATATTAGTTAGCAGAGGGTTTATGAACCCTAAGAAAAGTTTAATAAGACGAAATAGGGAAAAACGCAACAAGAATAAGAATAAAGAATAGGAATTCTTTTTTTAAAGAATGTGATGGAGGCATGTTCGGTATAAACTGCACCCAGAATTGTGGAAATTGTCTTAAGGGGAAACAGTGTCATCATATCAACGGTACTTGTTTAGAAGGGTGCTCTGCAGGCTACAAGGGGTCCCTTTGTATCGAAGGTATTTCTTTTTTTTTTGTTATGTTTTCCTTTTTTCATGCATGAAAGTCACCAGCTTCATTCTATGAAAGATTTATAATTTTTTAAGGGCATTGGTGATGAATATAGTGCACTTTTAAGGTTACCTGAGTAAACTCAGGTGACCTATTGCTATCCGTTTTCGTCCGTCGTCGTTCGTCGTACGTCGTACGTCGTTCGTAAACTTTTGAACATTTTTAACTTCTACTCTGGAACTACTGAATCAGTTTCAACCAAATTTGGTACACAGCATCTATGGGTAAAGGGAAACACAAATTGTGAATTTCATGGTCCCTGCCCCTCTGGGGCTTGCGGGGTGGGGCCTACTTCTGGACATCAAATAGTCAAAATGTTGACATGATTGTAATCAGCATTGAGTCCTCTACCGAAATTGTGAAATTCATGGCCCCTGGGTCAGGGGTTCTGGTGTTAGGGCGGGGTTATATAGATAATATAGTAAAAGTGCATTATTTCTTTAAAAATCTTCCCCTTTGCTCCTGGGTATTAAATTAACAAACTAAGTACAAAGTTATGATCAGAAAGAGTGTCTCTTCCAAAATTGGGAATTTTATGGCCCCAGGTTCAGGGGTTCTGGTGTTAGGGCAGAGCTATATAGATTATATAGTGAAAATACATGAAATCTTTGAAAATCTTCTTCTCTGCTCCTGGGTATCAAATAAACTAACTAAGTACATAATTATGATGAGAAAGAGTGCCTCAACCAAAATTGTGAATTTCATGGCCCCTGGGTCAGGGAATTTGCCATTTGGTGGAAAGGGGAGGGGGGACTCTTTTGATTATAAGGAACACTTCTAGTATACGGGTCCCCATAAATATGGCGCTAAAATAGGTGCCGCCGAAGGCGGTGTAGAATATATAGACGATCGCGTAAGCGATCGACAAAATCGAAAAAGAAGCCACAAATTGCAAATTTGACCCCAAATTCGTGTTCCTTGTGAAAAATTGGGTTTAAAAAACTGGTTTTAAACACAGTTTTTTAAATGAGAATTAAAATATTTTGGAAAATAACGTACTTGTTTAGGAGGTAAAGCTCCATCTTGGGTTGTTTAGGAATGTGGTCACATGATCAATTTATGACGTAATCTCATAAATATTTATGAGATGCGTCACTTGTGTTTGACGTAATGAAGAAATACCTGATAGGACTAAAAGTGCAATGCTATTAAAATTGCGAGATTTTTGTGAGAAATACATGGATTTAACAAGTGTTAGCTAATAACTAGTCATCGATGGATTGAATTGTGCATCATCATCGATTTGAAAGGAAAATTATTCTGAATATTTGAACATTAGGAGGTCAGGATATCGAGCTGCAGTTAACGGTAAGTTGCTTTTACAATAACTTGCCTAAACTCAGCGCTGAAAATCGTCATGTTTTGACATTAGAGTTGATTTACCCGAACTTTCATTTATAAAACTTTCTGTTCTTTCTAAAGCAAAAATTTCATGTACTAAATCAAAGTGTAAGATATCGGCGCGATTTGACAGGCTGATTCACTCATAGTGCCTTTTTTTTTTTATCAAAAATTACATAAATTAGCCCAAAGACAGAAAGATTACATAGTGGATTTATAAAACAACCCCAATTTTAAAAACTAAATAACCTAACCCTAATCACTCAATTGGATGCGTTTTGTTGAAGCGAGTGGGAAATTGCGGTTTGTTTACATTCTGCATAGCAACGGCAAGAGAAATAACTGTTCATGCGCAATCGCGTGATTCTGGGGACCGGCATACTAGAAACTTCCCGATTATAAAGTGAATACTGGTATACATTAATTCTTTCTTTGAAAATATTTTCCTTTGCTCCTGGGTATTATGCCAATGATCTAGATTTATTTATTTATGACTAACAAAGTTGCCTCATCGCAAATTCGTTAATTTCATGTCTCCTTGGTTAAGGGTGGGGGGGGGATAGTCTGAAAAAAATTAATGGCTTTGAAATCTGCTCTTTGGAATTAATCAACCTTTTATGATGAAATAAATAATTTTTTTTTCAAAGAAATGGAAATATGTGGCCCCAGGGTCAATGGTTCCTGTGGGATGGGGTGCACAACTGGTTATATAGTGTAAGTGCATTAACTCTGTTACTGTGATCTACCTCTGAGTATTAAGTAACAAGAGTACATGTAAGTGTGCTTAATGTATGATTTATGGTAAGCAATGGTGCCTCTTTCAAAATTGTGAATTTCATGGCTTATAATTGTTTAAAACATGAAAGAAATTCAATTGTTGGAAAGTTAAATTGTTACATGATACTCAGGTGACCTATAAGGCCCGTGGGCCTCTTGTTTATGTTCCCGGGGGCTCGAAAATACGACTTTTTTCTTTCTGATAGAATGTGACAATGGAACGTACGGTGATAAGTGTGGTAAAAAGTGTGGACAGTGTATAAATGATACACAGTGTCACCATATTACTGGTTTATGTAAAGAAGGATGCTCCATTGGCTATAAGGGATCTCTTTGTGACAAAGGTATTGTTTTTGTACTATGAAACAGATATTCTTAATCTTCTCTGATCTTAGATATGTTTATCTGAAGCACATCAGTTAAAAATATTGAAACCTAAATTAGTAAAAAAAAGGACATTTTTCTCATTAAAATTAGCTTTTATAAAATTGACTTAAATTTTTTTTCTTACTGCTTCAGGTTTTACTGTTTCATAAGTAGACTTTTTTTCTTCAAAAGTTCTAAGTTTCTTTCATATACGAGTATAAGTGAATTTTTCTTAATGTCTTATAGAATGTGACAGCGGAATGTATGGTGTTAAATGTAACCAGAGTTGTGGGAAATGTTTAAACAATACTCAGTGTCATCATGTTAATGGTACTTGTTTAGAAGGATGTTCGGCAGGGTACAGAGGATCTCTTTGTGGAGAAGGTATATTGAATACATTAATTTTTCTTTATTGTTACAATGTTAGCATATCTGTCCCACTAAAATAAGTATGAATTAATACAAATAAATAAATTAATTTTTTTTTTCATCAGATGAGATGGAAATGTTTATTTGATATTTTGCTTATTGTAATAGACAAAAGTACAAATGTATTTCATATTTTCAATAAATTTTAGTTCTTTCCTCCATTTCCCTAACACAGTCTTTTAAACTATCAAAATTTTTTTGTTTGAATAAATTTATTGTGAATTTCAATACACGTACATGTATTGTAAATGATTTACTGATTACTTAAATCTGTAAACAAGTTCTCTACAAGATTTTCCTGTTGTATTTTATCAACAATCTTCTTGCCATGCATCAGTTTGTTAATTATCCAGATGATAAATCTTCAAAAATAATGAAAAATGCTAAACATCTTCTTTAAGAATGCAACGGAGGAATGTACGGTGAAATGTGCAGACAGACCTGTGGGAAATGTTTTAGTAATTCCCAGTGTGACCACATTAACGGAACATGTGCAGAGGGGTGTTCTGTTGGATATAAGGGAGAACTCTGTGAAAATGGTAGGTTACTGTATAAGTATACCTATAGTAATAAAACAAACTTTCAATATGAGTTTTCAATGCATTTTCGTCTATTTTGCACGCTTGCACGCCTTTCTTAAACATGTATACCCGGTAATGAATTTTAGTAACACACGGTTCAGAATATTTGGATGAAATCAAAATTATTTTTATATCATATTGATTTCTCTCTTCTATAACAATTACAGTTTGTGTAACATTAGACAAAACCTTTGCTAATAATGTAAATACAATACAACCAAGGAAAATATAGAATGCGCTCCACTGATTTGTTTTGTGTAAAGATTTTTTAAGGTCGATCGCTGTTCATTATCTTTACTGTTTTCGTTGAAAGTGATGCCATTATTCCAAACTTATAATTAACAGACGTTAATGTTACATTGCATATCAGAAATTAAATCAAAATTAAACATTTCGATTTCACACTAAGTGTGAAGAGAAAACGTATTTATTTTAGAAGAGTATGAATAAAACATTAAAATGTTTGTTGTGTTTGTTTTCTTTCAGAATGTGATAACAGAACTTTTGGTGATAAATGCAATGAAACATGTGGCAACTGTATAAATAACACACAATGTCACCATGTCAGCGGTGAATGTAGGGAGGGCTGTTCCTTGGGATTCGATGGACGACTTTGTGTTGATTGTAAGAAATTAAAATTTAAAATACATTGGCAAAATAGTCTTATGTAATTAATAATTTTGGCAATCTTTAAACTCAAGAATAAACAGGTCATTATTCTTGATAACAATTTTAAGAAAGACTGTTAGATAGTTAACTACTGTATGCCTTAAATACAAACAATCCTCGCTTAGAAGATACACAGTAATATAAAATATTCTGAATATTTTGCATATGTAAGTTATATCGCTTGTTGTAAATATAAAAAATGTGTTCTTTTAAATAAATAAAATAACTTAAGATAAGCGTTGTTTTAAAATTTTCACGAAATTGTATATATTTTTCCAAAAATCCTTTGTTTAACTTAGAAAATATTGCATTTAAATTTTGCTTAACTTAGAAAATATGGCATTTAAATTTTGCTATATCACGTTAAAGATCATTTCATCGCTATTTTTAAATCTGAGCAAACTTCTTATAAGTCTTTTCTTTCTTGTAGCGTGTACTGGTGAAAGCCCGGAGTCCACATCATGTCCAAAATCGAAAAAGGTTAGATTTGATAAAAATAAAGACATAAATATTTATTTTCATTACATTTTAAACAGTGAAATACAGTAATGTAACTGTAATTTATTCATTGCATAAAAATGGTAGATCTATTATTTCGCAGTGTGAAAGGATGTCAAAATGATAACCTTTCACATTGCAACAATTAGTAGAAGTGAGGTAAATATCTCCATGTTCCTTTCTTACAAATAGTGTAGTAAAAATCATCCTTTATATTAGATAAATAGAAGTAAATAAACCATTTTGACAAATTTACCACAAATATGGTGCTCGAATCCTTGTTTACAACGGTTTCACTTCCCTAAGGTCTGACGTCTCAATCGCTCAACTATGACGTCATGTATCCTATGACTACGTAGGGACAGATGCAAAGGAAAAATCAAAGAGATTGCAATAAACAAAAATTTCAATGTCTTGTCGTTGAATATAGAATTTATTACACAAGTGTGACGGTTTTTTTTTCTATATTTAAATATAAAAAAACTTTGTCTCATGAATATAATTTATTTATCTTACATGTAAGCCCCTTTGTTAGTATTGCATTTTGTATTTATTTTGAATCTTCTAGTTAGAAGGAAACGATGATTCATCACCGGTTTCTCTCATTGGCGGAGTCGTTGCTGCTGTTATTGTTTTGTTGATTGTGATCTTGGTCGCCATCTTAATTAGACGGTAGGTGGTATCTTTTTATAATGAAAGTATATTGCTGGATAAGCGAGGGAAGTTTGCGATTGTAAAGATCATATTGATAAGTGTTGTTATTTCATGTTTATTACCATTATCATCTTAGGCTCTATAGAGTGATATTATTACATAGAAATACAAAAGATCATGATTTGCACTGTTTTTGAGTCAATGAAAGGCAAAGAAATGCTTTTAAAAACAATGGATACATAGAAGACTACATTTGACGAGAAACCACGAAAAACCATTTTGGAACTATCACCATTTATCCACCAAGAATACATGTATATCAAAATCCTACCAATAATTATGTGTGAATTATTTTTAAAGCTAGTTATATAAACATAAAAGTAAGTAAGAAATGGCTTTTAAGATATTTTGTTGACTAGTTACACAATTTTGCATAATAACAATATTAGCTTAATTTGTGCGGAAAAACGTCTGAGCTGTATAGGAAAATTTCTTCCCAAGGAGAACAAAGCTATGATTTGTCATTTTATTTGGAAGCATCTTCAGATAGTACAGATTCAAGTTGTTCAAATTCTACCCCCTTCCCATTACTAATTCTGTCTTTTAGGAGTAGGTCGATCGGGGCATTTCATGCATTTCAGCTTTTAAATACTGAACTCATTTTTGCTTTTTTCCATAGCCACAGTACCCATGTAAGTGATGTGGCCCCTAGGTCTGTTGTTTTTAATTGTAATTTTGAAGCAAGACTTGGAGAAGCATTAACATTTATACATTGTTATCTGTAAAAATGTGCATAATTGGGTTTGATTTTTGCAATATTGATGAAAAGGGCGTCGTTACAATAGTGACTGACCAAAATTAATGTTCATGCATGAAAAGCCTTTTTAACTGCAGATCACGAAATGCAAAAGGTACTGACCAACAAAGAATGGTTCGCAGTGCTGATAGGGAAAACGACACATCTAATGTACAAAGTAAGTCTAACGTTATTGCTTGTCCATCTTGTTTTGCGGTCCTAAATATTTAATGTATATGTTTGCATGTATTTAATAGTTAAAATATAAGAAAGGAATTCAATGCATGCTATTTTATTATAACAATTATACTTTATAAAACATTTTTAGATGTATGACGGATGATCTACTTGAGTTCTTTTCCTTATAGGTTCCTCAAAACAGTCAACATCAAATTTTACAAATATTTATATTAACACGGAAGAAACAACAAAGTTTATGGAAAAGAATATTACCAAACATACATCAGGTAAAAGTAGTGAACGTGAAGATGAAATCGACAGTGATGAGAAAATACATGAAGAAAATCCGTATGGAGATCTCTATATTAATGAAGAGACAGTTCCAGATATTGAGATAGAAAAACTAGAGAGCATAATTAAGGAAAAAAGGAAAAATGAAGATGACGGCTTTAAACGGGAGTATGCGGTAAGAATATATTATTCTAATCTTAAACTAAAAAAAATTAAGAGGGCCTTCGTCAAGACTTAAGTCTTTTAAAAAATAATTACTTGTTCAATAGACCATGCCATATGGTGAGAAGTATCCTTGCAATGCTGGAAAACAACCAGAAAACGTACCGAAAAACAGATTTAAGACCACGTTTCCATGTAAGTAATACATTTTTTTCTGTTAATTCTAAAGATGAATTTACTTGGAATTACACATTTTCAGAACTTTGTACATGAAACTTTATATGAATAGTGTAAAGACAGTATATATCATTGATATCGAAGAAATCTTACTTGAATACTCATAATTATAGGTTTCGTCAGTGATTTACATCATGCTTGATACATTTAACAAAAATATATTTATTTTCAGACGACCATTCAAGAATCAAATTATCGGATAGCCAGTCCGACTACATCAACGCTAATTTTATCGACGTAAGTTGTTTTAAATAAAACTTAATTTAACTGAATGTATAGTTTTATTTAATCATAATTGGTATTTTAACTTATTTAACCGTATTTTGATTAACATCCTTTAAATATAAATAAAATATCATCTTGATATATCATTAGATACAGTACGTCTGTGTAAAAAGAAATCAAGATTATCTTTATCTAATGACATTTTCTGAACCACAGAATCAATTATGATCATCCTCTATCAGGTATGCATCTCAAATGAAAAAGAAATATATACCAGGAGAAAAACACTATGCCTTTTTGAATAATTGCGGACATTTGCCTTTTATTTTCAGGGTATTGATAAGACAAATGAATATATTGCAGCACAAGGTAGGACTGTTCTGTTTACTTTCACACTTATTAACGAATCATAAAGACTTTACGTTAGTAATAATATGATTACACTGGTAGCAATGTTTCTCTGTAACAGGACCTCGACAGAACACCATAAAGGACTTTTGGACCATGATTTGGCAGGAAAATGTTGACCAAATAATAATGTTGACCAACCTCAAAGAAGGAAATAAGGTAAATAAATATTTAATAGTACATGTGAAACTCCGCCGAAAAAAATCTAATTAAAGTAATCCTAATTTTATTGAAATTAATGAAACCAAGAAAAGTTTCTCAAGGGTGTTTAAAATATTAACGATTTATATGTACAACTTCAGTAAGAGAGGAAAACTAAATCAATATAAGAAATATGTTGGTTTTGACAAACAAAAATTTCTATAAAATAAGGAATTGAATGTTAACTTTTGTGGTAATTATTTAAATGTAAAAAAAAAAAGATTCTTATTTTACCGCATCGTCACAAGCCGGGCCAAAATTTACTATCCTCTCCTATTTTGGCCGTGGTTAAATTAGAAGTGAATATTTTGTTACTTCCTTAGAATATTGAACCAAAGCGAGTAAAGCATAGTCGGAGAATAAACTTTGTCGAGATATTTCATTACCCAATCATAGTTTACGACATATTTATCTGTACAGATGATGTCATTGTTTATTAAATTGTGATGGAAACAAATTTTTCCATTGGCTGAACATGCCGTAACAACATAAAAGTGTAAAAAATATAAATATTCAAAATTACGATAATTCATGTATTCAAACAGCCACGGGTAGGAGGTTGCTTTATGCGGACTCCAAACCGCGGCTTGAGACAGTGATTTACCGTTAAGTGAATATTCTATCTAACATTCGGTATAAGGTAAATCTGTTTTTTTTTTCATTATTCAGGTGAAATGTTCAAAGTACTGGCCAGATCTGTATCAATCAAGTACGTTTGGTGTCATCTCCCTATTAGCAGAGGAAGAACAGGTCTACGCTTACTATAAAATCAGGAAATTTAGAGTTACCCATAAAGTGGTATGTCATTCTCAATTAGATATGTTTTAATTTCCATAATGAATATAAAATGATAATATGTACAAAAAGTGAAACTTGTGTTGAGATTTTGATAATGAGTGCAATCCCTTCATATAGTTATTTTTTTTTTATAAATCAATGGGACAAACTGACCTTAACAATATAATATTTCAAAAATATGCTGCAAAATGTTTTTATTATCTATTCGTACAATCTCCTTTTTGCAAACTGTATTTTTATATTTAGAACATCAAATAATTTATATTTTGTACTGAATGAAACCTGTCATGTTTAAACAATCGGAAGAAGCAGAAATGATTTCACTTTATAATTTTAAAATTATTACAAAATTTGTGAACACAAATAAAAAAGGTTTCAAAAATGACCAGCAGAGATTTCTAAGTTTAAAGGACCATTAGTATTTATAAAGTTTATTGCTTCTTTTCATGATGAGGAATACACGTATTCAATTACATTATGAAAAAGTTCTAACTTTTATTCTTAGCATAAAAAATCCCGCATTGTGACCCAGTACCACTACACTGCCTGGCCGGATCACGGCGTACCGGATCCGCTCTGCCTTGTAGTATTCCACGATCACGTGACAAGAACAAAAGATGGAAGAAATGATAAACCAACACTAGTACATTGCAGGTTATATATAAAGAATACATGTTTATCGTCTTGAAATATATATTTCGGCGAGGATAAGAAAATGTGAAAAGGTATTTTCGACCAGACTCCAATATCACTTATATTTCGAGGCAATAACCGAATAATTTGTTTATCCTGCATCATATATTTACATCTGACCTCCAAAACCAGTTCTTCAACTTGATTTAGGTATATTTCTGCAGACGTCATAGCGTAAACATTGGAATATATATGTCATCACAATGCTTTTAGAATATTGAAATGCATGCAGGAGGCTTTTTTAGGGCATTGACTGAGATAAGCCTCGGTTTTTAAGGTTACCTTGATTAGGTCAATGCAATTCAATGTTGCAGGATAAACGCGTAATGTTTTTCCGTCATTTATTTTACGCTAATGAAAAAAGAAACTGCTTCTCTGAAATTTCTTACTTTGCATGCGTATAATTCTTGTTATCTGTGGATAAGTTAACTGGTTCCTTTTATCGGTACAAAAGCACAAAAAGAGCTTGATTTATTTTTTAACTTTTTGCAATGGATGCTTCAGTAGGTTTGAAGTGTGAATACACTGTTTTTTTTTTTCTGTTAACCTTAGCGCAGGGATAGGGCGGACTGGTACTTATGTTGCCTTAGACGCTTTATACAAGGCGGGAAAATCAGAGAGGAAAGTCAACATCGCGGAATACGTGAAGAAAATGAGGGAAGGCAGAATGAACATGGTCCAAACTTATGTAAGTAGATATTACGAGATATATAGGTTGTTTTTTTAGCCGGGCTTATTGCTCAAAGTTGCTCAAAGAGCAATTGCCGGCTTATGTGATCCTGTTCAAGGCAGGATGTTGACCCCATAGTCGACATTTTAAAGTTACGTGCAAAAATATAGTTCTTACTCTCAACCGTTTTTGAAATAATACAAACCTAAATAAAGCAACAAAAATAAAACGAAGTTTTATCTATATAAAATAAACATTAGTAGTAATGACTTTGAAAACTTCATAAGTCAAAGAACATAGTTCATTAGCGTAAGGATTTTTGATAATCAGTGTTACCGTAGTCCTATACACATACGAAGTAAAGCAGGAGAGGGAACCAGACTGGCCTGTTTGTTTACATTCAGCTGCGGTACCAGATTAATTCTGATTCTGACAAAATCGGACCGTGGTATTAGGATTGAAAAACTCACTGTCAGTGTCTTATCATTTATATTGATAGTTTTAAAATAATTTTTTCATCAGAATATAAACGTGATTCATGTAAGAAATCCATTTTACTCTGTAAATGAGCCCGGCTCTCTGTACTTCTGAGTACTTTGATTATCTGTGTGCATTGCAATTGTCTAAAACCTGCTTATTTTTAATATAGTTTTAAAGATTCTTCAAAGGTTAACACAATGAATCATTTTTTTTAGCTCACCTAAGCCGAAGGCTCAAGTGAGCTTTTCTGATCAACCTTTGTCCGTTGTCTGTCGTCGTTGTCGTTGTTGTCATCGTAAACTTTTCACATTTTCATCTTCTTCTCAAGAACCACTGGACCAATTTCAACCAAACTTGGCACAAAGTATCCTTGGGTGAAGGGGATTCAAGTTTGTTCAAATGAAGGGTCACGACCTTTTCCAAGGGGAGATAATTATGAATTAGTGAAAAAATTAATGGCATTTTAAAAAAATCTTCTTCTCAAGAATCACTGGGCCAAGATAGATGAAACTCACGTGGAATCATCCTCAGGAAGTGTAGATTCAAATTTGTTCAAATCATAACCCCTGTGGGTAGGGTGGGGCCGATCAAAGTTTTACATAGGAATATATAGGAAAAATCTTTAAAAATCTTCTTCTCAAGAACCACTGGGCCAGAAAAGCTGAAACTTATGTGGGAGCATTTTCGGGTAGTGTAGATTCAAGTTTGTTCAAATCATGATTTAAGCCCCCCCCCCCCCCCCTCCAAACTCAGTAAACTTTCATTTCTGATCTGATATTTGCTTTTTCCTATCCGGTGTGCTAAAGTGAGTGCTGTGGCCCCTGGGCCTCTTGTTTAATTTAAAATCTTTTTGAAAATTATTTAAGTGACAAAATAAATAAAACACGGCATTCAACTGACCTTGGCGTAAGAAAAACAGACGCAGATATACACCGATTAAAATTGTTGAATTTTTGCATTTTATAGAACCATTAAAGATACATGATTCACTTCTGTTTCTCTACCGGTTTGATATATAGAGTCACCTATTCTGAAACACCTAGTAAAAGTTAATTGTTTATAAATATTAAATCTACTAAAGCAGACCAAATAGTTATATTTAGCAAAACAAAATAAAATGTGATTTTTCAATTATTATGAAAAAAATATATGCCTTTTCATACATGTGCTTCATGCAATAAACCAATAATACCAATAAACACATCCTTATATAAAAAAAAAATCATTATAATGCATGTATGTATTCGTGAAAAAAATCGTCTCTTATTTACTTTGGTTTTGGAACATTTCAGGAGCAGTATAAGACTATTTTCCTCGCACTTGAAACCGTGTTTAAAGCTCCAACATGTGTCCTCACCAAACCTGAATTTACAAGGAAGGCAGAGTTGATGACCATGGATAAACCAGCCAATGAAAGCGAACTTAGAAAGGAGTTCCAGGTATATTAATTATAGTTTTGTAAGGATTGGGACAACATACTTCATATTTATATATTTGCTTGAAGAAACTTGACATTTTTCTATATTTGTGTGGTTCCATATACATGTATAGCTAAGGGGTGTTAACAAAGTTCGTTCCATAATGAAATATTTTTTAAAATTTCAAAGTAGTGTTTAACTGAAAAGGTTATATTTCCAGTCTAACATAAACACAAGATTGTTCTTTTGATTTATAGCAATTAGGAGTTTTTACCATATGAAAATATACATAACCATTTTTAAAACACCCATATGAAAAAAGTGCCGGTCATTTTGTGTGAAAATGTTTGATTATGAATTGATTTGTCATACTGGTATTCTGTGCCGACTTTATAAGCTTAGCATGGGTATTTGAAGTTATATATTTACCTGTGTTCTTGAGATATTTCACAAATATGCTGCACCCCTGACTTTTCTGCACAGGCATTATTTGTTTCAATACCTGCTTCCCCTGTTCTTCTCAACCAAACTCAGTTAGAACCTTTACAATAACAAGAATGGACTCTGTTGACATTAAATATGACAAACTTTAAATATCTTCTAGTTGTGTTTCTTTTGGAAAATTAAGGAAAAACTTGAAATGAACTTTCTTGACGCCTTTTTATTGGAAATAAAAAAAAACCTAAAGCATAACTTGCATACTTATTTAGAATCTCCTAAGAGTGAGGCACAGATACACAGAAGAGGCTTACAAATTTGCTTTAGAGAGCGGCGGAAGTAAATCAGCTGTTCTTCCACGTAAGTTATTCAATTCGATAATTTAAATGCCACATATACATTCACAACTCATAGTTTTTCTCTGAATTAATTTCTAATTTATGTTCCCTTGAAAATGTTTAAGCATTAAAATGATTCTTTAATATATCTCCACTTCCTGGATATTACTCTAAATATGAGGTAATATAGGAGTATAGTTAAAATAAGTAAAGATGACAAAAGAAAAGTTTGTATTTCTTGTTTTCCATACAGTTTATGATAGGAAATAACATTTTATTTGCATTCAGGGCTATAAGTCTATACTGATGCACTTTAAAAGTGACATCTCCTCTCTGTAAATAAATATTCCTCCTTTTTTTGAACAGAATAATTGTTAGTACTATGCTTAATTGAAAACAAAATAAAAAATTATGCAAAGGACCCGTGAGCTTGTATGTAACCCTACACATATTTAAACATGTAGCCATAACAGTGTATCAACCAATTTGGAAAAAAGTGATACGTTATTTGTTTTGTGTTCAAAAATTGAGCCATGTACAGTCCAGACAGCTATTTTTTATTCTGCACAGTAAAGTTTTATTTTCTTTTAGTTGACAAGTATCGCCTGTTCCTGTCATCAAGTGTACCACAACGCGGGAATTACATCAATGCCATTACACTTCCTGTATGTAACATAATGTATATATGTACGAGAGTTGTCCGTAAAGTTCGTAGACATCATTGATAATTACTGACAAATATTGATAAAATATATGAAACTATTATTTTCACTAAATTCATGTTTCATTTTATTAATATGCAAGTTTTCAACAAAAACAAAGCACAGATAGTTATATTTTTATCAGATAACAAAAAGACACACACTTATACCTGGAGCACTAAAACGAAAAATCTTGACGTTATCCGACGTCAAAAGCTTAATACGAGTACATGTAACTTTTTTAAACTAGACACCGTTTAACTCAATACATTTATGTCGCTTTAACCAGTCATAAAAATGTGCACAAAATGTTCAGGTTTCATACGTAAAATTATATTTAACAATGCCTGCCTCATTAACTGCGATTATCCTACCTCTGTACGTGTAAAAACAACTTTATTTAAGGAAATACGGCAAAATCATGTTACGAAATTAACTTTTTAGCTCTTCTGAGCCAAAGGCTCAAAAAGCTAATGCTATGGCCATTTGTGCGGTGTGCGTCGTGCGGTGTGCTGTGTGCGGTGTGCGTTAACTTTTTAGAATATGGGCCATAACTCAAGAACCCCTTGTCCAATCATTGTCAAATTTGTTACAGGGTATCCTTGGCCCAAGGGCTACCATTTATACTAAAACTAGGTTTGGGACCCTAAAACAAGGGGAGATAATCAGGAAACTAGAACCTAAAGTACTAGTTGCTAAAAAATCTTCTTCTCCAGAACCACCAGGCAGATTTTCACCAAACTTACATACAAGGTTCAGGATATGTTGAAGATTAAAAATTGTTCAAGGCATGACCCTGGGGCAAAGGGCGTGGTCTCAAGGTCACTTCAAAGTTAACCAAAATTTAAATTTAATAAAAACATTTATATTTTGCTTACTATAAAGACTAGGATCATAAAATCTTGTAAGTTGATGCATCTTAGGACTTCACATCATATTAACACAAAAGTAGGTCACCGTGACCTACTTTTTAAATTTTATTGGCTTTTGTTTTCAAATTGATTTGGAGGCATATTTTGGACACTTTAAGGCCTATGATCATCAAACGTTGTCAGTTGATGCATCTTGGGTCCTTAAACAAGGTCAACTTAAAAGTAGGTCACCGTGACCTACTTTTTGAATTTTATGGCTCATCTTTTCTAAAACATTTAATCCCATTATTTCAGATACTGAGAGGTTTAGATTCATCAAATCTTGTAAGTTGATGCATCTTGGGGCCTTAAACATATTTATGAAAAAGTAGGTCACTGTGACCTACTTTTTGAATTTTGCAGGCATTTGTTTTCAAATTGTTTAAAAGGCATAATTTGAATACTTTCAGACCTATGATCATCAAACTTTGTCAGTTGATGCATGTTGGGTCTTCGGAAAAAGTCAATCAAAAAGTAGGTCACGGTGACCTACTTTTGACATTTTTTTGGCTATATTTAAGTATCTTGGGTACTTTTTGGCTTTTAATCATCAAACTTTGTCAGTTGATACAACTTGGGTTTTCGGAGAATGTCGACCAAAAAGTATGTCACTGTGACCTAGTTTTGACATTTTATGGCTATATTTCAGTATCTCAGGTACTTTTTGGCTTAGAATCATCAAACTTTGTCAGTTGATGCATCTTTGGTTTTCGGAACATGTCGACCAAAAAGTAGGTCGCTGTGACCTAGTTATGAATTTTATGGCTATACATAAGTATCCTGGGTACTAATTGGCCTAGAATTGTCAAACGTTGTCAGTTGAGGCATCTTGGGTTTTCGGAGAATGTCGACCAAAAAGTAGGTCACAATGACCTACTTTTGATTATCTCAGGTACTTATTGGCTTAGAATCATGAAACATTGTCAGTTGATGCATCTTGGGCCCTCTGAAAATGTTGACCAAAAAGCAGGTCATGGTGACCTACTTTTGACATTTTATGGTTATATTTAAGTATCTTAGGTACTTTTTGGCTTAGAATTATCAAAACTTTGTCATTTGATGCAACTTGGTTTTTCGGAGAATGTTGACCAAAAAGTAGGTCACCTTGACCTACCGTAGTTTCGACATTTTATGGTTATATCTTAGGTACTATTTGGCTTAGAATTATCAAACGTCAGTTGAGGCATCTTGGGTTTTCGGAGAATGTCGACCAAAAAGTAGGTCACAGTGACCTACTTTTGATTATCTCAGATACTTATTGGCTTAATATCATCAAACACTGTCAGTTGATGCATCTTTGTTCTCGGAAAATATCGACCAAAAAGTAGGTCACGGTGACCTATTTTTGACATTTAATGGCTTTATTTAAGTATCACTGGTTCTTATTGGTTTAGAATCATCAAACTCTGATAATTGATGCATCTTGGGTTTTTGGAGAATGTCAATTATAAGAAGGTCACAGTGACCTACTTTAACATTTGAGGTACTTATTGGCTTAAAACCATCAATCTTTGTCAATTAATGCATCTTGAGTCCTCAGAAAGTTTCAAATCAAAAAGTAGGTCACCAAGTCCTACTTATGGTATTTTATAGCTATACTGAAATATCTTCAGTCCTAACTGGCAAAGAATCATTAAACTTTGTCAGTTCATGCATCTCAGGATACTTAGAGTAAGAGGCTTCAAATAGAAGTGATAGATTGTACAATTTATCAGAAGAGCGATTCAAGTCCCTTGGGCCTCTTGTTTAAAACAGCACCACAATCTCGAAATGATGGTATTCCTTCACGCATGTCATCCTGTAAACAGTTCCTTCCGTCTGAAAATTTTATTTTCAACTAAATACTTATGAACTGCTTTCTATACTATATTTTCCCCACTGTATACAGCATGTAAGGGTCTCCGTTGGTGTTTTTCCGATGTTTACGCAGGATTTTATCACTGCTCACTGCTCCGCCTATTCCGAAAACGCTCCTTTTTCGAACAAAGCGGATCCTGTCTTAATAGATTCTAACCTAGATTGTTCAGCCACTTCTTCAAATTTTGCAGGTATGCAGTTATAACTTTTGTCAACCTCGTAATGTAAAAGGAATCCGATTTTCCGCAGGATTAACAAAATACAAATGAAATTTATAAAGTGATGAATAACTTTTTTAATTAAAATTTTGCGGTGCTCCGGGTCACCAACCCAAATCTAATGATGAAGCCATTAATCCCATTATTATATTTATTTATTTGAAATTGAATATTATTTTACATTCTGTAATTGGTATTCAGTAAAGGATTATAAATATGTTAATAATAAATATCAATGACACAAGTTTTCTTTAAATTTGAGCTTGTCTACGAACTTTACGGACAACCCTGGTATGTATTAATTTTGATGTGCTTAGTTATCAATAACATCAAATTTTCTTTCACTGTAAAAAGTATGTAAATATTAGTTTATTGTTTTGGATATAAGAATGGGAGTGTTTCAAACTTATAGATACTGTCTAAAAAGTAGATATTTATCAGTATACATGTTAATATAAAGTAATACCAAATTTTTCAGGGCAGAAAAATTAAAACAATACATTTACATGTAATATTTGAATAAAATATATTCTTTGTATCCTTAGACTTTGATTTACAAAAAATCTGCACTAATTTTTACTTTTTTCTCTTTATTTTAGTCTTACACTAAGAACAAGGCATTTATAATAACACATTATCCCCCAGCAGGGGACGCTGTCGACTTTTTGCGTCTGCTCACTGACCACGAATCAGATGTAGTCATTTGTATGGATCCCCTAACGAAAGTGGAATCAGTGAGTACATGATTCTTATAACTTGATTACAGTGATACAAAATTTAATGTTAATAAACAATAAAATGCTTTCTAAAGTAACGTAGTTAATAGGGAAGTTAATGTCGCAGCTGCTGCTGGAAATGTTTATTCCCTGCAATAATTGCGACGTTCGTTCAAGAACTATCAACCAGAGAAAGACATTCATGCTATATTTATATCTGTATAAATAATCATTTAAAGAAGAATTTCAAAGATTATGCTTTGTACTATTGATAACAACGTCATAGTATGTTTTATTGATAAAACAGCTTGAATAAGCAAATTGTACCAATGATATGCCCGGCTTTGTTCATGAATTGATAAACGGCACTGGTATTCTTAAGAAATAAAGTTGGAAACTATTCAGTGGAGGTACATATTAAATAATAAATGTTTTAATGAAATAATAAATGTTTTTATGATTCTTTCATATATAGACAAAGTTGTGGCTACCGGCTGCCAATAGTAAGAAATCTGTTGCTCCATACACAGTAAATTGTGGACAAGAACAAGTCACAGACATAAAATTTACAACAATCAGCATTATCCAAGAAAAGGTAAGAATTGGTATTGCTGAATAATTAAAGTGAAAGATGCAGCAGCTGGTTTAATGTTTATTTCGAATATTCCTAACATCTGAAAATCTTTGCAGTATCTCTTAGATGAAGGATATATTCCCCTATTCTATTTTTTTTTGCAGGCAACTGAAGAGGGATGCTCCGTATCAATAATAGAACCAAAAGGAAGCTTGAAAATAGCAGAAAACTCACAAGCTACAATGCAGATGTTACATTTGGTTTCATCAGCACTTCAATGTGAAACAGAGGGTCCCATTACTGTAGTTAGCAGGTGAAAAAAATATAGCATCAAATATTGACAAAAAAGAAAATTGTATTTTTGGACGAATAACATAAAACGACTTTAACATAATTTCGATTAATCACGTCCATATATAGGTGTCTCTTTATTGAATTTATGCAAAAAAGCGCTGAAAGAAGAGTAATTTATCCGATAAAGGTTCATTTATATCCTCACTTAGTACATATCCAAGAGGAATGCAAAATTTAGAGAAGGCAGCAATCAAATCGTGAATATAAAAAGAGTCAACACAGTTGTTGTCAATGGATACGTGTAAAATAAGCGTAGATTGCAGAAGACATCCTCTGCAACAGAAATTACTTAAACCCCTTGGAAACTTAAATTCAGCATCTCTTTTTAAAGATAGAACAAAATTTTTCTATGCATAAGCAAATATGAACTATGCATTTAAAATTAAATTTCATGGAAGATATTATGTTTTGAAATGTTAGGTATCGGAAATACAAACTTCGTATTTATTATTGTAAAATTATTGAACTGAATCTTTACTATTAAACATTTAATTAGTAAATAATCTAGTAAAGTTCTAGCAAGATCTTACCGTATATACTCGCCTATAAGTCGGTTGTATTTTTTTTTTACATTATTCTGGTGGGATTTGCTGTTGACCCGCTTTTAAGTCGGTACATTTTTTGCCAAAATCGGATGCCAATTTAAAGTAAATCAGTTGATGTTTTAACCTGGTTTGAATTAATATTTTTCGAAATGACACTAATATTTGATCATAAATTATTTTTAAAAAGGCAATGCTCACTAAAACTACAAATAAAATGTTTAACATAGGTAAAATCTTGTACTTTATATGGTTAATCTAGGATTACATAAATTATCATATATTATATCCAGACATTTTCTTCGATAATCGTCGGAAATGCAAATAAAATACTAAATTTTAGCCTCCAGATACGTATCTCCTTATGACTCGCCAAAAATTTGGAGATAGAGTTTTAGACCAATATTTAACTCCCAAAATACCGACTTATAGGCGAGTATATACGGTAACAGCTTAAGAAGTTCAAATCAATTGTCAAATTTTAATATGGAAATGAAAAGCTGGTGACGCTTTCAAATCTAAATTTCTTAAAATTATCAGTGATGGAGCAGTTCTATGCATTCTTTTTTATTCAGTATATACATGTAATACACCACAACAGTTGTAAAAGAGATTCGTATTTGTTTTAATAAACACCAATGACGGGTATGTCCTACATGGTGTATTTGGTACTACTTCATTTGTTAATAGATATTATAGTCATTGATTTTAATATAAATGACTGCAGACTTACTTGGTGCTCTATCCTGTACATAATACACTACTAGTATTTATCTATATAATCTAAGTAATATTTCTATTATCAGTGATGTCCTTATGTGGTGCATTTTGTGGTGTATAGAACATACTCTAAAATATTTTTAATTCTCAGTGACGGAGCAGCTATATGTGGAGTTTTCTGTACTATGTTTAACACACTATAACAGTTGTCTATGGATATTGATATTTTGTTTAATTATCAGTGACGGAGCAGCCCTATATGCTGTATTTTGTGCCTTATAAAGCACACTACAATAGTTATCTATTGATATATATGTTTTATCCTCAGTGACGGGGCAGCCCTCTGTGGTGTATTTTGTGCTGTCTATAACACACTACAACAGTTATCTATGGACGGAGAGGTGGACATTTTCACTGCCGTCCGTCAGCTACAGATAAGACGACCGGAACTCTGCTCCACTCTGGTAACATATCACATAAATACATCTCATCTATACATTTGATGCTATGCATTACTGATTTTCTATGTGAATCTTCATTTTGCAATAATATGTGTTGGTCAATATTTTCTCGTAAAATCTTTTCTTGTTCCTTCAGGAGGAATACATGATGATCAACAATGCTGTTCTGGACTACATCCGGGCAGAAGAGGAAACATCAGAGGAAAATATTTATAGCAACTAATGACAACATTTTCGAAATCAAATGTATTTGACTTTTGGGGGAAATTTCTAGTAGGAAGACCTTAAAGTGAATTGATTTGAAATATGAAATACTAAATAGTATTCCTTAATCATATTGCGATAACATCTGTGATCATTTAATTGCTAATTTAACAGTACATTACCTTAATGCAGCAATGTTTTTGATTATTTAACTGCCTTTAAGTTAGAATACATTTATTTTCATGTACATATATTAAATTGTTATTCTGTTTTATATTGTTTGTATAATTAATGTAATTAAGTGATGCATTTAAGAAGTAAAATAATTTATGTTGGTTACTTTTTCAACTGCATAACAAAACATTAAACATTGTTTTTGTTTCATCTGGATAAATGTTTCCAATACTTGAAAAAAGAGCAGAGGAAAAATGTATTCTATTTTCAATGCAATTTCAATGGTTTTTGATAATTAAGAAACATTTAATTATTGACTGCAATTATTATAATTATTGGATTAAAATCATTGTATTGTTTATGGACTTTTAAGCTTATATATTGTTTGTATTCTCTATTTATAACATACTTAAGTTAAAAATCTGGCCCCAGGATCATGTAACAGACTTAGACTTAAGTCAAAATTTCTATCATCTATAAAATCTTAAAAAACTTGTTAAAGGAAACTCTTAATTTGCATATAACAACACATTGATGATACAAAATCGGAAAGCATTTTCATTTTGGGCTGCTTAACCTCTAAAATAATTCAGCATCTAAGACATTTTTTGACTTAAGCTAAGATGTTTCATGATCCCGGGGCCTGGTGAATGAAAAGTGCCTTCAGATTTCACAAATTTGAGAAACCGGTTCTCTCAATGATCCTTTACCAATATTGCTCTCTGTGAAATAAGGTGTATCTGGATATAATTTTCAGGTAAACGCAATGCAAAAAATTGTTTAAACAATAATTTAGAAAAAACAATGAAGGCAGGTATAAATAACAAAGTACGGAAGGCAAAAAAAATCCTCCCTGTCTTCAATTTTAATCATATTGAACAAGGAATATAAAAATAATGTGTCAGTTTCAAAACAGTTAAGTTTATGGAAATACATGTATTTCATACAGTTTGTTTTTTCTTACAATATTGATTAAAATATTTTTGATATTTTTAATACAGCGTTCCCGGCGCTTTGACGTCAAACTTGAAGTTTAGCCCGAAGGGCTTTATGGAAGATTTGATCATGTGTCAACCCGTTTTACATCCCAAAAAAAACTCAAAAAATGATACCGTATTACTTATATTTACATTTATGACTGATTAATACTTTATATTTGCCTGATTGTGACTTTTAGCGTGTGAAATGCATTATTTTTCCAATTCAACGGCAAGTATATAGTCCACTGAACTCGCGTCGACCCTTTATGACGGTACTGAGAAATTACGTCAAACGATTATCCATACGCACATCTATGACCTCTTGACCCGGTACCTGCATTTATACAGTTATAGATACGAATTGCTTTCAGTAGTGTTATATAAAGGAAAAAAAATTGCAAATGTAAATATATCAAATTGAATTTACCTCTAACGTGAGGATTTTATCATAATTATTAATGTATAATTATTTTAGATGTGAGATGAATTATATTTCATTTGTGTACATTACCAGTATTTTTGATGCAATACATATCATGTTCTCCATTTTTTAAGTGCAGATTATTGTAAAATGACAAATCTTAAAATTTGAGTATTACAAATACTTTTCATATTTGTTTTTTTATGTCTTGAAACTTTGAAAGCTAGTGGCCAAAATAAAGGATTCATGCTTTGGATTCCGTACTATAAAAAGTTTGCAATGATTGAAATACTCTAAGCCTGAATAGGAGTTTATTTAACTTTTAAATGATAACTGCAAAGAATAGGTTTCAGGAGGCTAAGGGGCCAACAAATTATTTTTTATTAACCACCAGATATAACTGAAATTTTGGTATATGATATTTTAAGCTGTCAACTATCATTTTGAAAAGAAAAAAAAATCATAAACTCGAGTTTTAAAATTTGGTATTTTATTATATCTTAATATGGAATTTTTCTTCTAAAAGAGATCAAAATAGTCTTTAAAAGGCCACAACCATCCAGCCCCCTTAAATAATCCTGATTCTTTTTCCTTCCGATACTATTTATATGAGGTATTCAATGTATAACGACCATATTTTGTACCTAATAAATGAATGGTCCAATATTTGTCCCCTGCTTGAAAAGTGGGGATATTAATTTGGGTTTGTCCGTCCGTCTGTCCGTCCGTCCGTCATTCTGTCTGTCTGTAACGCTTTCGTTTCCACACGATATCTCGAGAACACTTTGAGCTTTTGCAATGAAATTTAGCATAGCAACTCCCTATGGACTAAAGAAGAACCCTATTGATTTTGAGGTCAAAAGGTCCAAGCTCAAGGTCAGAAATTAGCAAATTCTGTCTGTTATAACACTTTCGTTTCCACACGATATCTCTAGAACCATTTGAGCTATTGCAATGACATTTTACATAACAACTCCCTGTGGCCTAATAAAGACCCATATTGATTTTGACGGCAAAAGGTCAAAGTTCAAGGTCGTAAATTTATACATTCTGTCTGTGTGTAACACTATCATTTCAAGGCGATATTTCAAGAAGATCTTGAGCTTATGCAATGTAATTTTATACCAAAACTCCCTAAGACCTCTCTCACCCCTCGCCGTTTGCTTTATTAGTATTTATAATATTACATGTCGCTATTTTTAGCACAGGGGCAAGAGGAGAGTTATTGCGTATAAAACATGTTCTCAGCGGATTTTATGTTATTGTTACATCTATTAGAGCTGTTTAATAAAGGCTAAATAAATCAAACACCATGGATTGTGTTAAATTGAGACAATACCGAACATGAATATATACATGTATTTGACTTCGCTTCTGCATATATTTGACTCTTTCTAAAGCGATTCCGTGGTGTAGTGATATTTCTCGCTTCCCATGCGAGAGGTCCCAAGTTCAAGTCCCAGACGTACCACCTTTTTTTTAGAAATACTTTTTTTTTTTACTAAATCATAGTATTCAGCACGCGAAATGAAAAATTTACGAGGTCTGCCTTGTGCAAACTCATAGAATAATCATTACTTACTTACTTAGTCCTCTTCGTGCTTTGAGCACATAAAGCCTGCACCGAGGACCTCCATGTCTGTCCGTCTGTCTGCTGCCATTGTCTGTACAGTGCCCCAAGTCCACCCTTGATCATTCATTTCCTTTTCAACCGACCGTCGCCATGTCTCCTTTGGTCGCCCTCTGTTTCTCTTTCCTGGTGGAGTCCATCTTAGGGCTACCCTTGGTATCTCTGACGGCTTCATCCTCATCACATGTCCAATCAATTTCCAGCGTCTTTCTTTAATCTGGTCAGATATAGCAGCTGTGCATGTTCTTTCATACAGCTCCTCGTTGGTGATCTTGTTTGGCCAGAATATCTTCAGTATTCTACGGAGACATCTAGTTTGAAAGGTATCCAGTTTTTGCGAGATAAATAAAATAATCATTACAATGTGATAAATATTCCATAAAAAAAAGAATCTTCTATAAACATAATAAAGAATAAGCAATTAAATCTTAATATCCAAAATGGTATATTTTATTTGCTATAGTATACATGCATGTATACAATTAATAATTCTACAAATTCAGTGAGGGAGATTCGACTATCCCCCCCTCCCGGACTGCGCATGTTTTACTTTTTCCTTTAGCGGGAGACACAAATTCTCTGAATTAGCTTGTTTAATCATGGTGCATTTGAAGATGTTATCAAAACTAAAATGCTCCATCAAAGAAATTTTTAAAAAATTGATTATTGTCCAATTAATTTCAACTTTAATTTTACATTGAAGTTTATGGGCAGTGCATTTTTTATGTGATATTATAAAAAAGTAATTTAAATTTCAAACAAATCTCTTCGTGAAAATATGCATAAATTCCCTCTTTGTCAAATTATGCATTAATTGAAAATGAATTATTTATCGCAATCATTTTGAGAAATCAAAAATTTTCTTCTTTTCATCAAGGGCAGATAACTCTTCAAAAGCGCAAATGTGCAAAATGACCGCGTTCTTACATGCTATCAGTCTTGTGAATTTGGTTCATTTCACTTTTATCGTTATCTAGCAGTGTGTTTTTACTAGTCTAAAATTAATCAAAATTTCTTCATTTTTACATTGAATACCTTTAAAACATTGTTCATAGTAAAATTAATTCGCTTTATACACGTCATCTTTTTTAATCAATTTAAGTTATCATTCAAGAACAATTGCAATATTTTTAAAGCAAGATATTTCTGATCAATTTTCATGAAAACACTAACAAAACACGTTCATATCAATCACTATTATTAATTTTATGTTGTTTCATATTTATGTTCGCATATGCATTGATTTTTGGATTGCTGCAAGACATGAGTTTATTTAAAATAAAACAAGTTTATATAAATTTGAGATAGTGTGGCAGTTTAAATTTCCTGTTCCCGATCTCTAGTACACCCCCCACGCCATTATACCCAAATGTAACGGTTTGGGGGTTATCAAGTGAAGACTAACGACCTGTACAGGGTTCGTGGACAAGACTAAAATTTATTTACCAGATGAAAAATTAATATTAGCAATATAACAAGTGTTAATATTTAAAGCATAAAAATACAATGATTGTCAAGGGAGATAATTCATTACACAAATAGAATATTCATATATTTCTCCACAATTAAAGCACAATCAATATTCATCACAAAACTTCACAATTATTATTATCATAATGTATTTCATAAGGAATAATACATACCCTTTTCCATATCACATCCTGTATCAGCCCGAGACACCTTCGGCCCTCTGGCTGATATTGGTGTCTCGGGCTGATACAGGATGTGATGTAGAAAAGGTATGTTTTATTATATTTATTACATACTTAGTAATAATATACAGAACACATTAAGTTGTGAAGAAAATAAGTAAATAATCATGCACGGACTTCTTAAAATGTACACAGTCTATAGATATTGTCTCATTCAGTTTCGGTTTGTTTCTGTACTTCTATTTTAAGTGTCCCCAATCCGTAATTTGAAAATAATCTATTACATGTATTTGTAAATTAAGATTAACCTTATTTTCAAAAAGTTAATATAAAGAGAATATGAACCCACT